TGTTTATCCCTTTACTTACCCCGAATCCATTGGTGGCAATTACTGTGTTCAAGTAGATAAATGTAGTAACCATGGCGTTTGCTGAAATTGGAATGGCGGAATCATCTATAGAAGTAATACGAAGTAAGATTTTCTCCCAAAAGAATTGTGAATTTACATGATTTTGACATATATGGACACACGAGCAAGTAGAATAATTAAATTAATGATACATTTATTACCCTATACCCTTCTTGTCTTTGAACATATTAGCGCGTTAAACTAAGTACATATTTGAATGATTGAAAACCTTTCACTCAGAAACGGTTAAAACTCTTGTTAAACTTATTCAAATTCATACATTTACTGATCAGTATGTCTTCAGCAAAACCTCACGTTTGGTTTTCTTCCATGGAGTATTTTCCAAGTGAGGATGGAAGCAAAGCTAGAAGGCCATTACTAATATGAAAATGGATTATGCTAATACAACAAAAGTCACCACTATTACAGGCCACTACAGTCAACCCGCTAATACACGAATATGCATGATGCAAAGACACCAAAACAGGAACAACAAGTTCCAGGCAGGCATGCTAACTGGACCGACAACCATACATTTAATGTGCCAAAATCAAAGTGGTTCAATATCCATTACACATTCAAATAGCTACAAATTAGCTGGTGAGAAACTACCCATCTTGATTGATTAAGAAACATACACAAATAGCTAGGAAAGCAACTCATACTTATCAACCCGACTCCTTTCGTTCGTGTATACTAATCAACCTTTTACTTTTTCTTGCAGATTGTCACGTTCAGCGATATATGGATTTCTTCTTCGTCAGCCGAACTTGAGATGCGAACATGCGGGATATATTGTCAGTTTCAAAGTGGCTAACGTCATTCGATTCACCGTTTGATTCTCCAATGTCGCACCACTCCCAAAATCCACATTTGTTTGATTCTCCAATGCCGCACCACTCCCAAAATCCACATTTGTGACTACAACATTTGAAAAAATTTCCTTTGTTTTCAGTATTCCTTTCAACCTCAAAACACTTTTGAAAACCGTTCTTACACACCAGACATCGGTGTTTTGTCGGGCAGTCAACAAAGAAATGGCCCTTAAGCCGTAACTATAGCAAACTCCTGAATTCTTTCCACCTATTCTGAAAATGGAATCTAACAAAAAAAAAAATCAAGTTAACTGAAATTCCGAAATTATGTTGATTCAATCGAAATAAATCTGAGCCGAATCGGTATGGGCAAATTGCAAAGCTTCATTTCACAAATTCTGTAGCCCAACAAAATAAGAAATCAGTTCCCTCCCTAATTTGTGAAAATAAAGTGGTAGCTTGCAAGAGGACGGACTGCTTCAGCGACTGTTCGAAGAGGCCCAATTAATGGTTACGACCAAAAGAAATGGGGGAGATGAGTGAAACACGAGAGGGTTACCATTTTCATTTGGGAGAAATGGGGGTGAAGTGAGAGAGAAAACAATTGTTTGCTTTTCATTTTTTGTTCTTTATTTTTTTGTTAAATGAATGCCACGTCAGTTTGTCAAGGAGTGTTGTACGTCTAGCGGGGTTGAAAGTGAAAACTAAATGTTTCATTAGTTGGTATCAGGTAGTGAATTTATTAAGTGCAAATATTGAATATGTCAAATGTTTCTAAATATATATTTTTTTANATGAGTTTTTGGTGGAATCCGAACATATTAACGTGGAATGCATTATGAATGTAGTTGTAGACGAAACGGTGGGAGGAGATGGAGTGATTGTGCCAAAGATTGGTATCAAGTTCAAGGATGTACACGAAGTCTTTGATTTTTACAAATTATATGCTTACGACGTAGGTTTTTCGATGAGGAAAAGGAATTCAAGAAAGGACGACGATGGAGTTATGCGATATGTCACTTTTACCTTTAGCCGTGAAGGTTGAAGAAGTGATAGCACAAGTGGTTCTTTGCAGCCGCAACCAACAATTCAGACCGGTTGTAAGTCAGGATCTCTGCATCTACAAATAATCATGGTTATTGGAGAATTAACACAGTGCACCTCGACCACAATCACAAAACAAGTCCAACGAAGTCGAGATTGTATCGATGCAACCGATAATTGAGTGCACATGTGAAACGTATGCTTGAAGTGAATGACTGATCAAGACCGGGCAATGCAAAATGTCGTTTAGATAGTTTTTCCAAATACAAAACATAGATGATGCTTGTGGTCGTTTTGAAGAAGCTGCCCAAAAAAATACCACGTCGATAAGGGTTCAATATTTTTGGCAATACATGTATTAATGTTTGATTCTCAGACGGTTGAAGAATTAGAACAAGCTTGGGGATCGATAATCAAAACATTTGAGTTGCATGATAACGAAAGACTTTCAGGATTGTATGAGAACAGAGGTCGTTGGGT